TTCCATTGCCTTCCCTATCTATTGCGAATATTGAGTTCTTCACGCATTCAGTTATATGTCTTCCAAATGTCCTGTTGTTGCTTTATGAGGAGTTCTAATTTTCTTAAAACCTCCTTGTTACCTATATGCTCCGCTTAAGTTATTTTTAACATTCGTCGATAGAACGACATATTTGACCGAATAAAGTAGCAACACCTTTCATCAAATTGAGCAGCATTCACGATTAATAGAGACGTTTAGACATTACATTGATATCCATCAGACTTCCTATTCTTTCGAAGGACATTTTTGAAACTGTAAAAAAATGTGTCATATTGAAAAACTCACTAAAATATTTCATACACTTTCTGTGCTGCACATTCTTGTCTCTTTTTCTACACAACAACGATAGTTACATTCCGTCACTCACCTCCGTCTGACGTATTATATATATATATATATATATATATATATATATATATATATATATGATATTTTATTATGTAATATTATATAATATAACATAAATATTATATTATATAATATAATATTTAATCTAACAGTGATCTCATCTCAAACACCTCACACTTGCTCCATATGTGGCCTCCTTTGTAAATTACTAGCAGGTCTTAAATGCCGCTTAAGATTATCGCATAAACTTTCATAACTGAATCAATAAGCTGTCAGATCCTCATACGTCGAAACCGACACGAAAGAGTCCATATATATATATATATATATATATATATATATATATATATATATCCTTTAATTTTCAAACTTTCAGTATCTTCAGGAGTTTGCGGTAATGATTTTTTTTCTATAGGCTTATTTTTAAAAAAGCATATACGAACGATATATATATATATATATATATATATATATATATATATATATATTAAAATAAATGAATATTTGCACAATGTGAGGCGTGGTAGAAAGTGATGAGGAGGAGAAGGAAAGGAAAGGGAAGTGTATTGGAAAGCCATGCCAAAATAAAATATAACTGAAAGAATGAAACAGGCAGAAAAATGCTCGAGGAACATGAAGACGAATAGATTTTAACCACAAATTTAAAACACAGATAGATTTTATATATAATTCCATAAATCACGCCTAACTCACATAACTCACCAACACAAAACATGCATACTTTCGGAGGTGTTGACACACATATATATGCATATACACATAACATACACACTCCACCAAAAACTAAAAGATAACGCACACTTAACACGCACACCCCATTCCCAGCAACCAATAAAATTATCAAAATAACCAAATAGGGATTCTGAGACTCAGGAATATCGCAGCTTCTATTTAAAAAAAAAAATTGAAAGGGATCGTTTTGTCAATACAAGGACTGACCAAACAAAGACATGGTTTCTGAATAGAATAATCAAACGAAGATTAATGAATAGAATAATCAAACGAATGTTGGTAATGAAAGGCAATACTTAGGTCATGAACACCATATATAAGATTCGCCAGCGGCGCGTAGATGAAGTAGTCAACTGCTAGAAGTGAGACAAGTAAATTGCACAATGAATCTTCAGCTGCAAGATACTAATATGGCAACGTGGTCAGATGTGGCACAAGGTCGAATTTAATATGGGGCATCCTAGCCCGGAGACAGAGAGTTTAACCAGAACAGCTCGAGAAGAATCTCCGACCGCAGAACACCATACAGTATTTACTACTGCATTTTTTTGTGAATGAGGACATGCCCATTATTGTCCGTAGGATTGCTACAGCAATATATATATATATATATATATATATATATATATATATATATATATATATATATATATATATATATATATATATATATATATATATATATATATATAAGTGTAAAGAAAACTTAATATTAAGCATTTCGTCCTCATACGTACTTTATCTTTTGCAATCAGTATTTATTATTTACTTGCGTTTCACTTAACCTCAGGTAAATTGATGAACGTTCTTAAATTGAAAATTAGTGTAAAATTCACGTAATTAGTATTGCTATTTATACATATCTGTGGAAATATAAAATACTCAATACTTAGTATGAAACGACGAAACCTTTCGGCAAAGATAAGTTTTATTTTTTATTGTTTTAGAAAAATATTTGTAGTTTCATCTGAATATTTACACACACGCACGCACGTTCACACACACACACACACACACACACATATATATATATATATATATATATATATATATATATATATATGAATACATGTGTAAATATTTATACATATAATTTGAATCCATGTTGAGTGAATGGATATATTTGAATTATATCATCAATAATTCTGTAAGCATCTTTATCAATTTCCACGTGAAACAGAAAAACATACTTGATTATAGATATTTTCTCAGTTCTTGTATGTTTTGGCAATAAATATAAAACTTAATCAATCACTGACATTAAAACTAAAATCTTAACACCACCAGAGAAAATAGACAGTATAAGCCATAATTTCAATGTGTATTCGTGAAGAGTTGAAATTATAGCGCTGGCCAGACATAGTAAATATAGTTCTATGGCTAATTTCACATACAATTTGACTCATAATATAAAATCTGATTTTTTTTTCAGGACTAAATACACTTTATTAAAATCGATATTTCTTTAAGTTAGCCGTCAGTTCCGTTAATCCGTTTTTCTAAAAGAATTTTTTTTTTATTTAGTTATTAGATTCGAATTTTGGCATATTTCAATTTCAATTTACTCGAGATCAGTGTAAAATAGTTGACATTCGCTTCACACATTAGTCTGTTCAGAAAAAAGGGCAAAATTATGTATTTGTCTATGAGTTATAAAACAGGGTTCATTCTACATAAGAAAATGTAAATACCAGGAAATCGTTGATATATGATACGTAACAATTAAACCACATATAAACAGATAATTACTCAAAATTCGGTAGAACAGAGAACCTGTCATCATCCCTTCGTAACTTAAGGTAACAGTAATGGTAATATTAATTTTTTCCCTAGAAAGGAAACATTCGCCATTTAATGACCAAGGATTCAGTGCCACTCTCGGCTGAAATTTATAAAACCTTTCTATTAAAACCAGTTTTTACTAAAATAGATTTCTCATTCCGAGTAGCTGTTATCAATCTTTCCAGTACTGATGGAGACATCATTTTCCCTTGGTTTTACATCTTTTCTATTATTTTCTACAGTTTTTGTTTGTGATTGTGTAGCGCCAATCCAAATAGTTTAAAGCTGGACGATACGATAGATAGAATGATTGTAAAGAAGCTGACTAAATATTCTATTCTTATCAAAATATGTCCACTCACTCACTAGTACGTGACGGTATCTTCCTTCAACATTTTATATTCATCTTTAAGAAAATATAATCTCTGATTTGATTAAGTATTCAAGGAACTGTTTTGAGACGCCGATGAAACAAGGATTCCGAGACAGAAGGAAAGATGTAGCAGTCTTCAAATGATTCGCTGTGTATGTAAGATTCTCCACTTAAGACAATACTAGCACCATGAATATTGTACTGAAATAAAATCATTTTTATAACCAAAAAAGTTCGTTCTCTATTCTAATGTATCTCTATTCTATATATCCGTCAAACTTGGCTGTTCCTGTCCCTAAATAAACCATGTTCAAAACGACGATTTTATAATTGACACCGATATGATTTTATCTACCTTCACTCTTCGGCAATATTTATTGTTTTAAAAATTGATGATCAAAATTGTATAAAAGCCTAGACATATTACGAAAATTAATTTATATACTTTTTATTTAATCATCAATTGGTAAATGATAAATAGTGCACTGAATTAGTTTTAACTGTATTGGTTTGTTTTTCTAATTTTGCAGATATAAAAGTATCCTTGTAAATAAAATCTAATGAAATCATAGTGTTTGTTAATTTTGTTGTTAATTCTGAAGAACAAAATAAAACTTTATAAATTCGCCTTCATGTGTAAAAGTCGAATAATCGTTTTTAAAACAGTAAAGATTACCGAGGCGTGAAGTTAATTAAAATAATGGCGCCGTCAATGGAAAAACATCTTTTGACACACCGATTATTTTTTATTTTTATTTTTGCGAGTAAGATCTTGTTACGAGTATAATTCACATTCATCTGCATGGATTTTATATTTTAACAACATGATTTTTTTTTCTAATTGTGCCAAACTATTTTTCATTGATATCTATCGGTTAATGTGCAGGTATCATAATATCCTTTTGTTCTATATGCTGAAGGACGTTGAACATCATGGCTCCCCGCAACTTACTATCATTTGTAGCTCTAAAGAAGGTGTGTTGTTTCACTTGTTATGAATAATCAAGAGTGGTCTCCCCTTGTTTTGTTAAATTCCTCTTTAAGAGGGCTATTTCTGTTTACTGGGATTATAAAAGGACATTATGCGAGAAGCTTGTATTCTCAGTTGAATAAATCTTTCATAAAAACTACACCTGCATATTTTTGTCATTACATCACTATCCCTCAGGGTTTCTCTCGTTTTGTGTCCTACAAATTTAACTCTTACTTATTCTAATTATAAGTTGTATTTTTACTTCCATTTTCATTAAAGCTTTCTCGCATCTCACATGCTCCCAGCATAATAATTCTCGGAATGTCTATGCTCTCAAGTATCCTCGTCAACTTTAAGGTAATCACGAATATTCACAGCCTTACATGATACCGCCATGCAATTCACCAACATGCCGTGCTATTTATTTAAAGAAAGATAACAATTACCCATTTAAAGTAGATGTCCTTCGCATATTTGTTTGAGTCATTTTCTAAGGCTTATCAACGCTTCGCAGGTTATTTGAACCAGTAAACATTTTTAGATTATAATTTATTTTTTTGGCAGATAATAATGATTTAGTGATGCAAGTTCTATTAATTGACCCATACTGGGGTGAGGAGAAGAGGTGGATTCCTAGCTTTCTCAAGGATATGACACGTATTTGAATATAACGAGGACCATAGGATTTGTAATTCGGCTCTCTGCTTAACAAATCCAAGCCATTCTCCATTACATCACCTGGTATCCTCAAAAGGTCACCCATCTAGGTACTGACCAGGCTTGAAGCTGCTTAACTTTGGTGATCGTACGGGGACCGATGTTTCAATGTGATGTGGTCGTAAGCTCATTCGCACCTTCACTCTGTGTGTGTGTGTGTGTGTGTGTGTGTGCGTGCGTGCGTGCGTGCGACCGAGTGGTTAGAATGAACGCATTCTGAACATTAGACCCGGATTCGAATCTCATTATGGTCGATTTCTCAGAAAGAAGACTTCCTTATGATATTGGATTGTAGAAGTCGATCCCAGCGTGCGGATCTTTTGGAAAGTGCCTGAAAACCATACCACCGGTTGACCCAAGCCTTGTGAGTGAAATTAGGTAAACGGAACCCTAGGGTGCCGTCGATAGTTGTGCTAGCACCGAGTCAACTGTGATCGTGACCAAGGGCTTGAGCGTGCTGGCCTTGTTCACATTGCTAGATAACACGCTCATTCCCAAAAATTGTGACTAAGGTCTGCTCAGCATAGTAACAGTATAAACCACAGACCAGCGTCTGCAATAGGGATTGGTTAGTCATCCTAGTAGACAGGTGTACCCGAGATTTATTAAAAGTAAAGAAGCAATGCTTGGTAATTAGTTGTCATATTTTTATAATTTTATGTGTAAAAAAATGGCAACTAATTACCAAGCAATGCTTCGTTACTTTTAATAACCAACATTACAGACAGCAATTTGGTTTGCCAATGGGATCTCCTCTCAACGGCGTTCTTGCTTGTCTATTTTTAGAATTTCTAAAAACTGACTCATTCAAAAATATTCTCCCTACAAACTCTTCATATTTCAGATACATAGACGACTCATTATTAATATTTCCAAAAAATACCAATTTAACGGATCTTCCCTCCAAACTTAACAACGTTGAACCTACAATAAACTTAACTTTCGAAACTGAAACCAACTACACTCTTCCGTTCCTGGACATTTGGTTGCATAGAAATAATAACGAAATCAATTTTGACGTTTACAGAAAGGCTACAAAGAAAAATGATCAGTTTCTACTCAAATCACTCTTCTAAAATTAAATCTAGAATTATTATAGTTTTCTAAGAGCATTAAGAATCTGCAGTCCCCAATATTTACTTAACAAATTTATTAATACATAGAAAACACATTTAAAAACCTACAATACCCATATAATTTCATCGACAACGCAAGAAGAAAGGCATAGAAAATATACAACCGAAACAAAATTATAACATAACCCCAATATGAAAACAGATACATGATACTACCGACCAACTCTGTCACGTCCACTATCCAGAATAACCTATCCCATTTAAATAATCTTGAACAGCACTTTCAAAAGCATTATGGATATACTAAGTTCTCCAAACATTAATAGCAATAATATTTCTGAAGCAGGCATTTATAAAATAAATTGCCAAAACTGTTCCTCCCAATATATTGAAGAAACAAGTAGAAGTTTAAAAAAAACGCATTTATGAACACAAAAGAGACATCACAAAAAACAACTTAGCTAATGCCCTCGTCATAAATAGAAATAAATTCAACCATAATTTTGATTTTAAAAATGCTACACTCATAAAAAAAGAAAATAACTCCCTCAGAAGGAAAATTCTAGAGAGTACCGCCATAGAATATTACAATTAATCTACGCCCAGGTTTTTCCTCATTTCACCTTTCTTAACAGAATTAATTTTCTCACAAACAAATATACACAACAGAATCATAAAATCAAAAGAAAATGGTTGAATACATCAACACAGATACAATGACAATATTCTCCACACGTGACAAATACTGACGTTATTTTCAGTTAACAATATGAAAATAGCGGTTCTCTAGATTCCATTTGCTAGGAACATTCTGTTTTTGTTTTTATTAGTTACCTTAAATACATTTCGTATTTTGCTTTTTATAAAGTCCACATTGTACGAAACGCGTCAGCAATTACTAGTTTTCCTATTGTCATTTTTATTCATAAATATTGTCTTGTCTACTGGTTAAATCGGAGAAATATATCATATATATATATATATATATATATATATATATATATATATATATATATATATATAGTGGCCTGGTGATTGCATCTAGCATGGAACAGACTGTCGCCTCTAAGTGTTGACTTCTCTGTTCACTTTTATATTTACACGCTCTATCTCTGATAGTGAGCACTTTATCCCATAAATATAGCACATCTTAAGACTATATTTCATTCATATATATATATATATATATATATATATATATATATATGAATGTGTGTATGTGTAAACGATTAATTTTTATATATCAAAAAAACTTATAGGGGAAAAATGTGTGAAGTGTTTAGTCTTCATCAGTCAAAATTCATTTGTTTACTTTGAAGAGATTACACATGTGCACGAATGAAAGAAGGTTCTGAGAATTTTTTTTCACTCTATGCTTCGTGTATATAGTCAAGCCGGTTTCATTTACACTAATTATTTCATATTCATTACTGAACAAAAGGCTCCTAAAATAATTCAAAAAAGAAAAGCGGACCTTCTTGACGAACACAACAAATCAAAATATTTTGTTCAACCCTGTTAGCACTGCCATTGAAAATAATCCATCTAAATTCAACAAAATTATTAGCAATAACCTTGAAGAGACAATGTACTCTATCACATCAATAACTATCACAAGGAATAGTAGAAACATCATTGATTAATTTTATAAAATAATAGATTAGGTGATCACTTTAATGAAACAGAGCATAATTTTGATTTAAAATAAAGCTAATCTACATAACAGAGAAAGCAATTTATTAAAACTAAAATGTATAAAAACTGTTTTAATCGTTGGATGAACAACAGTAAATTTCCGTCCGGGTTAATATAATATTTCAAATTCCTTGGTAAAATTCTGTATTCACAAGAAAAGTGATGGGAATATAAACAGAATTAAAAAGAAACTAAAATGAAATCTACTATAATATCAACACAAAAAAAATAAATTTAAATTTATCAACGTCTCCTTTTCTTAGCGTGCGCATCTGTAGTCGCATCAAGGTAAATTTATCCTTCGTCTAATTAAGACAAAAGGACACAACGCGTCACACGAAATATTTTTCATTTTTGTTATAGTTTTTTTTCCCTAATAATTATGTATCGCTGGGCTGGTCATATTTCAACGCTGAGTAAAGACAGAATAGTACCTAAGGGCCTCATGTATCGCCATCTTGAGAGTGATGCAAAAAATGTTGTAAAGCTGTGGCTCAGGTGTAAGGACAAGCTAAATCAATTTGCCTCATACTAACTTCGAGTGAGTTATCCTGGATGGAAATAACTGGAGATATTTGTGCCAGAGTGCCATCAAAAATTTTCAAAATCAGTCGTACTGATGGACTAAAAAAAGACAAGGGCGAAGAGCGTCAGCTAATGTCCTTGTTGCAATGACCCAAGATCCTCGTTGTTGCACAATATGAAGACTTTTACCAGGACTGGAGTATCACATATGAAACAAACTTAAAAAAAACTGAAAGAAGATTTCGGATTTACATACGTTGACTTAAATGTCTAATATATATATATATATATATATATATATATATATATATATATATATAATTTTGTGTTTGTTTATGTGCCTCCACAAAAATAATTTTTAATTATTTAGTTTAGATTTAATTTGAAGTTAATCGACTGATTAAAATGAGTAACATACTTCACTCCATTTCAAAACTAACTTAAACTGGAATTAGCTTTTTTTCGGGGGGGGGTTCAAAAATTGATTTTAGCGCCATTTTAAGCCCAAGTCTATTTATTACAATATAATTCTCATTATTAAAAATTTTCAAAAGATAAAATATACTTTTCTAAAACATTATATGAGGTGTATTAGCTGTTTAAAAGTATAATTAATCTGATTTGAAACAAATCATTTTTTTTTACTTTAAAATGTGGCAGGAATGCACTTTGCAACCTTACAGTAGCTTTATTTATAAGTTCTTTTGCTACTGAAAGATCTAATGTTGTTCAACATGGATATATCTGTGGAACATAATTAAAGAAAATGATGTGAGCGCTTTTTCATATGATTTTAAGTATTCAGTAATCTTAAAAGTCTAGGAAAATATTCTCTGTAATCCAATGTTTTATTGAATTTTAGATATTTGACTTTAAATTTACTGTAGTTATCAATTTTATTTCATGATAATGTCGTCTATGAACATTCGTATGCACGTCCATGCACGTAAAAATAATTTTTCTCTTTAAATATTGGTGTTTGATGATTCGTACAAACCTTTTCAATTTATAATGAGTAAATATAGTTTTTACATAACAATGATATCATCTAAAAAGTTGAAATTAATACAGAATGTTAAAAAAAAACTTTAAAATGTTATATATTATTCTAATTAAAATTTTAAAAAAAGAATTGTAAACCATTCTTGTATAAATTTATTATTTACCCATTTTTCTTAAGAAATAGTGTAATTGATATATCTTTTTTTTTTATAAATAATAGCTTAGTTTTATTGTATATTGATTTACGACGATTTTTTTTAAACCTTGTTTCATTTGTACAAAAATAATGATGATTTAAATTCTTAAAGGTGTTCTGCTTTTAACTAAAATAAATAATAACGGAGGGTAATTTAGTTTCATGAAATTTGATAATAAAATCAGAAAGTGGGGGCTAACGGTTGTAAAATAAAGAGATTTTTACAAAGATTTTCTTAAACACATTTTTTAAAATAAATCCATTCATTTGTGAATAAGTGTTAAACAGTTCATAAAAATCCGGCCATTATTTAATTTTTGCAAGAATTCCCAAACCAATATCCTTTTTAATGAAAAAACGATGCCAAAATTCCGAACAGTAATCATTGGTGCTATAAGCTAACTCAGGAAAACCAAGATTTCTAAGCAATATTTTTAACGCGCGGTTAAAATATTTAATTGAATATTAAGAAAAAGTCTTTCTACTTTAAAACATAGTGTTTAACGATAAAACTTTTTTTTTCTCAAGTTTGGCACATTTTTCATCATGAAGAAGATTAAAAAAAATTAAAGAAATAATTTAAAATACCAACCAACAACAGACAAAACTACCGACGAGCCTGAAATTCTAA